AAAACAAAGCAAAAGTTTTATAGGTGTGTAGAACGTTAAGTTAATTCACTTGTTATTATTTTTGGCTAAATATGCTTTTAAATAAAGCATATTCTTAAATTTTAACGAGGCAGTTTAAATAATTTTGCAAATGGTACTGTACGCTTTTGTCTAGGTCTCGCTCGATAATCGGTGGAGAAATGAGCTACGCAGACAAATATAATTGAATTTGGAATTATGCTACGGGGCATCCTAATAAAGGGAAGGGGCATCTCCAACTTCTTGAAACGAACAGTAGTTCAATCAGAAATCACGAAGTCGTTTTACTGTTAAGTTTAATAATTAACCTTGCTCCATCCCCTAGCTTGGTTCTTCGTTATGTGAAGCATGTGTATTTTAATAATATAGGATTGACTAAGTCCTTAAAAATGAATATAGTTATTGAACACTTCCCCCTTCCCTCTTCCGCGTTAAATATTTGTCATGCGAAGCATACGTTGTTGCTTTGATAGGATTTTTTAATTGAAACAAAATATATTTGTTTTTAAATTGTAACCTTTGTATATACGAAAGTAACAGCGGAAATTGAACACTACAAATGGTAGGTAGCATATATATTTAGCCCCCTTGATAATCAAAATTTAGTCTTGCGTTGGAAATGCTCACAACGCGTAAGTGCGCGAAACACGTGTCCGCGTAGTTTTTTAAAGTGTTCTGGTTAGTTGGGGTAAGACTTTTCTTTTTGTTTATCAATACGCCACAGTCTCCTTTATATTTATTTCCGTATTTAACTTATTATTGTTATTATTGCGGAAGTACCTATGTCGGTACAATTTGCATTTCTTAATTTCAAATTTTTTTAAATTCGTTTTTGAAATTAAATAATACTCATTAAGCTTGCCTAAGACTAGAGCTTCATCGTTTTAGAGAAAAAAAAATACTATTTGTTATAACCATGTCAAATAATATTATTACGAAGTACGTACTGCAGTTGTATTCAGCAACTTTGGTTTAATAAGTTCTAAATTATGATCCACATCTGATAGTACCGATAAATTGTAAATCAAGAAATCTGCTGGCAAATTAAAATTGTATATGGAGTGTGTTCGACTGCTTATTTTACCTACAATCTGCGCATGCGCATCTTTCACAAATCAGATGAGTGTGACAGGAACGCATGCGCAGAATTGATTTTTCAAAAATACACATGCACAAATCATGGCAGGAAATGTGTATCTACTAAAATTGGCATAAGTAAATACATACTTATCTATTATATTGCAAATACAAGTTTTAGAGACATTATATCCAGATCTCTTTAAATTAGTGCATACGGTGCAAGAAGGTAATACTACGAAATATTACTTACGATTAAAAAATAAACCTATATATTAATACTAGAAAAAATATAAAGAAAATAGGTAATGATGTTCTTTGTAATATTAAATATGTTAGTATTTTTTGACATAAGTATTGTATATTTTTTGTACTGTAAGAAGAAAGTTTGTTGCCTTAATATTTAATCTGTATTTTTTTTGTTTTCTTGTCAAGGATGAAGGTCTAGTCAGAGACATATTAGACGCAGAAACAGGAGTTAGGAGGGGTAGAGGTAGACCTAGGTTAAATTACTGTTCGCAAATAGTTAAGGTCTAGCACTAGCTTTAGGGAAATGCGAAGTTTAGCTCAGGATAGGAAAGAGTGCAGGTACTTGTCCATCCAATCTTAGGACTGACGACCTTATGATGATGAATTTCAGATCAAATTTGGACATTCAGAAAAAAACCGTTCAGGAGTCGAATAGTCAGCGTTGACCATCTATACAATGTACGTCTTTCATAGGTTCATTTTTTGGTCAGCAATCAACAAGCCGCTGTTGTCATTTTTCAGTATTTTGTCTCATATTGGTGTATACTGCCTAATTTCATATACTTATCATAGCGTTTACATAACCGCATGAACGTTAGTCTTATTCTCTTATTTAAAAAAAATTAGGAAGATTTCGCGTTAAGTCGATTTGTTTTAACCATTAGATAGGTATCAGCGCAAAACAATAATTTAAAAGAAAAACTACATAGATTTCTGTTTCATTTAATGACATGTTGATTTCTTACTATTATATCTTTGTTATATAGTATTCGAGCCAAATAAACTACCATACAGTTCACGATATTCAGCAAAATTATATTAGCACATAATACATTTATCGATACAACGTTCTTAAAATCTAAAACCAATTTAATAAACGTATATGTAATTCGTACATATATTTTTTACGGAGTTCAGCTTACATGTAAAAGTACACAATACTTAAAACTACATTCATTCTGAAATAAAATTTATTAAAAATTCTTTTGTTATTACTTCAAACCAAACACTTTACTTAGAAGGAAGTATTACTGATGACAAAACTTAAGCATAAAAACTTTTAGTGTGACAAGACACGCAGAATTGTTAAATAAATCACGTTGCATAACGCTTAGTCCAAAGTCTTGCGATACGATCGTGTTCTTCTCTATTTTGAAGATACTGAGTAGCAATGCTGCCCACTAATGGATCGGCTATAAAAGGAAATGATTTTATGTAATTCATATTTCATTAGTCCTGTGTACTGTTACTATTACATATTCGTAACAGAACATTTTCTTCATATAAATTTATTTACATACTTGTTCTAGGATATTCGCCAATTCTCAAATATTCGTCAAAATGTTTGAATTAAAGAAGCGCCTATACTATCTAGTTGGTGTTATAATAGAATAGTTAAGTGTTATAATAAAATGACATGTATGAATTCCTACTCAACTGAGTACAGTAGATTTCATTTATTACGACCTTTATTATAGCGAGCATTTTGCTGTAGCGACGTTAAATCTAAGTCCCTTGAATTTAAAGCATACTTTAGTGCAAAATTCATGTGGCTATGGCGACTTCGGATGTAACGCCGAGTTCGGGTGTGCGACTGTTTTTAATGACCCTTAACAAATCCCTAGTAGCTTTCTTATCTTTTATTTACAAGTTTACATCCACACAAATAGCCTGCAAGTGTGGTGACCTTTATCGTTTGTTTATAGCTGTAAGTAAGGTAGGTTAAATGGTTGTTAGAAAGTGATATTCTGAGTAGCAACTGTGCTTAGTAAAATTTTGATTAAGTATTTACTGTTAAAAAAAGACGGAAATCGTTTCAAAATTGAAAAACACTATACATACTGTCTGTATCTGTGTAACGACGAAAGTTGAGGAGTAAAAGTTTTTCTATTAATATGATGGACGATTCGCCTTAAGTTAAGGTTTTAAGACTTTATCGAGGTAATTATCTACTTGTTGAATGGTAAGAATTTCTAATTGTAAACGTCGTCTTAATTATTTATTAGATTTATGATATTAAAGTTTGTGTTACAAGTATTTCATAAGGGGGTCTTTCTTGCAAGACGTTACGTAACATTTTTTTTAAATAAAAAATCAGGGAATTAAATAGTGTTCATACTGTAATGTCCTCAAAAGAGGGAAATTTGCATCATCAGCTGTTCTTGGCCTATAAAAGCTCTCATGCTGACTTGCCAGCGCAACTGTGTCAAAAAAATACCAACGAAATTTGGAAAACGACTAAAGAAAAACTAAAAAATAAAGAAAAGTTTATAGAACATATAAATAATGTTACACGATTTGCGTAAGATTACTTTTGGGTAATATGGTCACTTGAGTGTTGGAGAGGGGGGTACAGAAAAAGGTTACGGCGCGTTACAAGGGGGGGAATGAGGGTCAAAAATCTACAAAAATTGCGTTACATAGTACTTGAACGCTCTTCAATGGGCAATCTGGCATTTTTACAATAATTATTATCAGTGACCGGGTCATAGTACAAAAATTCCATTTTATTTTCTAAATTTGTAATATCATATTTATTTTCTGTTTGAACCTTTTTTTAATAGGTGTGTCTGCAGATTGGTATTTGCTCCAACAAGCAACAATTTCTTTTGCATATTATTGCCTAGATATCTTTATTGTGTACATATATTTTGATCTATTTATTTGTCTAAACAAGTTATTAGGAAAAAATTTACCAAATAATGTTACAGCATGAAAGAAATATATTATTGTGTCTATAATATGTTGAACAATTACACACAATATGTACTGCTATTTCCATTTCCATTAATTTTTCTGGACCATGCAGTTTACTAAAAAACTCAAAATATTTCTGTATGTTTAACGTTTAACAAAAATCGGACTTCTTACTTTTCTTAAGGGCATCCTAAACTAGCATTTTCCCGAAGCACAGGTTCTAACTCATTACTATGTGGCTTGAATTTATTTAAAGTTTTTTTTTCTTTAAATAAAACAAAAACGAAAAGTACATTAAAAGAAAGCCCTTCGTACTTGTGTAGAAAATAATAAGAACTTTGAAACTTCAACTACTCTTCTAACTTGTATACACCAAAAGTGATCCATTTAATGAGATTCAAAAAAATCTCATTTGACTAGAAACAACTGAAGTAGGACCTAAGGGTTTCAAACAAACCACCACACTTTGCCAGACAATACCCCAGTGTGTTGTAAAATTCAACATTTCAAGTGGAATATTCTTTATCACTTAGATTATTTTTCCACAAAGCTCAACCAAAATACCGATGTGTTCATGGTTGTGGCGATAATTTTATTCGATGATGTATTCGCAAAAGCAAAAATCATTTGGGAATAATCTCATCGTTGCATTTCATGCATCTCATCACACTCCGTCCGCTAATAATGCGATTGGAGGAGGTAATTTCTAACTTATTCATACCAAATTTCCTTAAATTGACATCAACCCGTTGAAGCGCAGGAATGATTTGCTTAAGGTATTTGTTTGAATTTAAATTTCCGTTAATAAAAAAAGGGCTTGTTGTAGAATTATTTGAAATTCCCGCTCATAAATTAAACTTCCGAGAATACTGCTTTGATTGTAAAGTCTTTATTTTCGCCAGATTAACCCATATCAAGAAATGTTTTCTGATATCCATAAATAGAAACGAGAGACTCATTAGTGAACAGAATTTGTTGTTCAATAAATTTCTTATAGCCTAACTAGTCGGTTTTCATCTAAATGAGTATGTTTTCAACAATTTTGTAAGCATCCGTAAGTTTCGAACATTTCATTTTGCAAAATAAGCCGAATCTTAAACGAAAACGCAAGCTTACTAAGTACTAAGTACACCTTTCATAGATTCACTAGAACAGTTTTTTATATTGGTAACTCCCTAATATTGGAACTGCGAGAAGTCAGTTTTAAATGCTCACGCACAACCGTCTGAAGATAAACGAGAAAGTGATTGTAGTCCGCAAAATGGCCCTAACAAATCCAGTTCTTTTAACAGTATTTAAGCATTGCAATTTGAATTTTTGTCTCGTTCTTTTCCTTTTGTTCCAATGAAATATGTTTAGGATTACAAAAACATTAAAATAAAATATGAATTATTTCAGTCTTAGCATTTTTACTGAGAAAAGCGTGAAAATCTTCTGAAGAAAAGGTAATTCTTAAAAAATTAAAAGGAAGACACCCCTAATTACCAGAAAAAACTTTGTTTGAGCGAACACGTCTTTCGTTCACTTAAGCCTTCCTTTTAATTTTTTAATTAATATTACCACAGTCTCCTCTTTCTACTTAGGTAATTCTTAATTTAAATCATAACTTTGCTAATTTAATGTTTCGGGAAAAAGTAGAGGTCATTGTGCTGTTATTTTTGATATTTTACACCCTAGAACCTACTTTACATAGTGCTATACTCTGATTGCTATTACAAATTTTTACGACAAAAAATTTATTTAGATTGATCTACGAACTCACCAGTTCTCAAAAAAACTTAAAATTAAAAATCTTAAAAGGGTAGAAAGTGATAAAAACAAATGCTTAGAGTTGACGTTTTCTGATTAGCTCCTTAGTAGTGATGTGTTGAAGACATGTCTCCAGGCAAGAGTGATTGCATGGCGTTTATATATCGATATATTTTTTATCATTTATTAACTAACTTCAGAAACTGTGTTGCAATCATAAATTAAAATTTTTTCCCATTTAGTTTTTTAACAATCGTAGGAAAAGTTTCTTTTATGTATGTATGTGAGTAAACTTTCTGGTACTTGTATTCTGCAGTTTAAAATATGAGTTTCAAAAGCTCTATATTTAGAATTGAATATCTTCAAAACTCATATAATTTAACTTGCACCAGTCAATTCAGAATTATTTAAATAACCTGCTTTAATTTTAAAAAATCCACAATATTCAGATGTGACTTGAAGTTGGCACTATTTTAATAGAATAGATTACCAAAAGTTGGCATAACTCAGCTTTAAATTCTTTCAATTACTTTCAAAATATATACAAATGAATAAATACTTTACATACTCATACATACTTACCAGGATTACAGTCCGTTAATAAAGAACAAATGGATAAAAGTACTTTTGAAATAGTCAAAGCTGGGCTCCAATTGTCTTTTAAAATATCCAAACAAATAACTCCTTGACTGTTAATATTGCAATGATAAATCCTTGTACGAAATGTGACTTTGGGTGGTTTAAAGGGATATTCTGGTGAAAAGTGTATATCAAGGAAAAAAACACCCCCCTCATAAACTGAACCAGGTGGTCCTAAAATGGTAGAAACCCATTCATAAAAGTTTTCTCCTTTAGGACCAGCACTGCAATTTGGGGGAGGATCAAGAGTAATTTCAGCCAACTCCTTCTGTATACGTTTTGCCGATGTTCCCAATGCTTTAGACATTTTTGGATTTGGTTTGGAGTCCTTAGTTTCTTTTGATTGCTCTCCTACATGAGAGCCACCTCTACCTCTTCCAGAACCACTTGAGCCAGCAGTTGACATTTTCTTTGATAAAGCAATGAATATAAGTACCTGCAAAGAAAGAACAAATTCTGACATATAAAAGTGTTATTTGATAAATACCACTTTAATTATATTTCTAGATACTAGGCGGCCATTTTTCTTTATACTAATTTACATTTAAGATTTTGAAAAAGTTACAACTTAATAAATAAAACAAATTCCTTTCTAGATAAGATAATTTACAATACAATAAAAACTTGTTCATAAGAAAGCTATTCGCCAAAACACTATTGTTTAGTACGGCACTTACCGTGTTGGTATTGATGGTAGCAATTGCAAGTAGTAATGCGAGTGTAAAACAGATTAATAATTTAATTCATGGTGCCAGTACTACATTAATATAAATAATGCAATTACCTACACTACAAAACTTAATTATTTTACAAAATATGCTATATTTTTCATAAAAACACCGGAATATTCACTGTCACATTCATTGAAACATGAACATGATCTATAAACATCATCACAGGTAAGACATATCTATGAGCATTCAAAGACATCTCACACAGTGAATAAATTGATTTTTGTAGTGGTTATGGCACTCAACCACGATCAACATTCGTCAGGCCGGTTAGTAACCACATTCTCGGTCAGTAACAAGAGAAGCAAAGAAAATTCAGTCAGTCCGCCCATCGACGTTTACTAATGAGTATGCCTTAGCCATAGATAATAGATATACAAAGGGTAATGGACATGCCTTAGCGGTCATAATTGTGGTACAACAAAAGAAAAAGATAGAATGAAGTTTCGGACAATATCCATCTCTCTTACGATAGTGCGTAAGCGTGTCATGAAAGAGATAGCATTAGTCCGAAACCGTACGCCATCTCCCTCACTTTTCGAGACAAGAAATTATTACAACAAGATACGGCTAAGGTACGTCCATTAATAGATGTCTATGGTCCGCACATTGCCACAGACTAATGGTCCATGTCCGTACGTGCCATAGCATATATTAATGGACATGCCTTAGCCGTGTCGTTGTAATAATTTCTTGACTCAAAAAGTGAGGGAGATGGCGTACGGTTTCGGACTAATACTATCTCTTTCATGACACGCTTACACACTATCGTGAGAGAGATGGACATTATCCGATACTTCATTCCATCTCTTTCTTTTGTTGTCCCACAATTCTGACCGCTAAGGCATGTCTATTAGTAAACGTCGATGGTACGTGCTCGATGCCTATAGATAAGTTGGAAAGTTTTTACTTTAGATGGTGTTCAGTGCATGTTCAGCCTAGAATAATGTTCAGTGATTAATATTCTGTCAGGGATCATAGACGAGGTGAGAGATTATATATCTCTTTATGTGGTGTTTTGAATAAGCAGATAAGAAATATTGTATGTTAGTGTCCGNTCACTTGTTATTATTTTTGGCTAAATATGCTTTTAAATAAAGCATATTCTTAAATTTTAACGAGGCAGTTTAAATAATTTTGCAAATGGTACTGTACGCTTTTGTCTAGGTCTCGCTCGATAATCGGTGGAGAAATGAGCTACGCAGACAAATATAATTGAATTTGGAATTATGCTACGGGGCATCCTAATAAAGGGAAGGGGCATCTCCAACTTCTTGAAACGAACAGTAGTTCAATCAGAAATCACGAAGTCGTTTTACTGTTAAGTTTAATAATTAACCTTGCTCCATCCCCTAGCTTGGTTCTTCGTTATGTGAAGCATGTGTATTTTAATAATATAGGATTGACTAAGTCCTTAAAAATGAATATAGTTATTGAACACTTCCCCCTTCCCTCTTCCGCGTTAAATATTTGTCATGCGAAGCATACGTTGTTGCTTTGATAGGATTTTTTAATTGAAACAAAATATATTTGTTTTTAAATTGTAACCTTTGTATATACGAAAGTAACAGCGGAAATTGAACACTACAAATGGTAGGTAGCATATATATTTAGCCCCCTTGATAATCAAAATTTAGTCTTGCGTTGGAAATGCTCACAACGCGTAAGTGCGCGAAACACGTGTCCGCGTAGTTTTTTAAAGTGTTCTGGTTAGTTGGGGTAAGACTTTTCTTTTTGTTTATCAATACGCCACAGTCTCCTTTATATTTATTTCCGTATTTAACTTATTATTGTTATTATTGCGGAAGTACCTATGTCGGTACAATTTGCATTTCTTAATTTCAAATTTTTTTAAATTCGTTTTTGAAATTAAATAATACTCATTAAGCTTGCCTAAGACTAGAGCTTCATCGTTTTAGAGAAAAAAAAATACTATTTGTTATAACCATGTCAAATAATATTATTACGAAGTACGTACTGCAGTTGTATTCAGCAACTTTGGTTTAATAAGTTCTAAATTATGATCCACATCTGATAGTACCGATAAATTGTAAATCAAGAAATCTGCTGGCAAATTAAAATTGTATATGGAGTGTGTTCGACTGCTTATTTTACCTACAATCTGCGCATGCGCATCTTTCACAAATCAGATGAGTGTGACAGGAACGCATGCGCAGAATTGATTTTTCAAAAATACACATGCACAAATCATGGCAGGAAATGTGTATCTACTAAAATTGGCATAAGTAAATACATACTTATCTATTATATTGCAAATACAAGTTTTAGAGACATTATATCCAGATCTCTTTAAATTAGTGCATACGGTGCAAGAAGGTAATACTACGAAATATTACTTACGATTAAAAAATAAACCTATATATTAATACTAGAAAAAATATAAAGAAAATAGGTAATGATGTTCTTTGTAATATTAAATATGTTAGTATTTTTTGACATAAGTATTGTATATTTTTTGTACTGTAAGAAGAAAGTTTGTTGCCTTAATATTTAATCTGTATTTTTTTTGTTTTCTTGTCAAGGATGAAGGTCTAGTCAGAGACATATTAGAGGCAGAAACAGGAGTTAGGAGGGGTAGAGGTAGACCTAGATT